AGTGAAAGAGGAATCAATATCCGACGATCATGGTCGCATATTGAAGTTAGAACCATTAAAGGACTATTCCAATGGAAACGGAATAGTAATAATAATAATAATGTCAAGCGTCGTAATTCGTACGCTTGCTCACATTCCAAAAATAAAGAAACGGTTACGGAAACTGAAATTAAAATATTAAATCAAATCTTGGGAATTAATAATAATAATGTTAATGATGATGATGATGATGATGATGATGATAATCGTGATGATGGTAATCATGATAATAATGATAAAAACAATCACAATAATAATAAAAATAAAAGTAGAAGTCTAAGTTTGATTAAAAAAAGAGTGAGTAATAAGAAAAATAAAAATCCCAAGAATGATAATGATGATGAAAAGAAGAATGATAATAATGAAAAGAAGAATAATAATAATAATGAGGATAATAAAGAAAATTATTTCAACAACAATAATATTCTAATAGAGGAAATGTCAAGTAGTCCACCAAAACTTAATACATTTCCATTTGAAGCTGTTGATAAAAAATTATCACCACCACCATCAAATTATGAGGAGAATAATAATAATAATGATGATAATAATAATAATGATAATGATAGTAATAATAGTGATGATAATAATAATAATAATAATAATAGTGAAAATGAATATATGAATATCAAAAAATCTCGGGCCATACAAACAAGGAGATTTATCATCTTTGAAATTTTCACCACAGAAAAAAGTTATTTGAAACATTTGACTACTCTTAAAAAGGTAAATATACTACTATTACTTATTTTGTATATAATAATAATAATAATAATAATAATAATTTAAAATTCACATATTACAGATATTCATGGATCCTTTTGTCCAAACCTCAAGACCATCAAATCCATTAATCAATTCATTTGATATTCCCATCATTTTCGCACACATCGAGGATCTCATTATATTATCCACGGTAATAGTGGATGCATTAAATAATAAAATTCATTCTTGGGATGATGAAGAATCAAGAATTGGGGATGTATTTCTAAAATATCATGGAGCATTTGAAGTATTTCGTCGATACGCTGAAAACCATCGCGAAAGTAAAATAGCGATTAAAAGAGCGAATCAAAATTTGTTGTGCAGAAAATTTATTCAGGTATATTATTTTTTAATTAATTAAATATTAAATTATCAAATTATTAAATCAATTAATTATTTATTTATTTTATTTATTTTATTTTATATAGCGATCCATACGAAAAAAGGATACAAATCGGTTGAGAATCGATGATTATATGATTATGCCAATACAGCGTGTCACGAGATACTGCCTTTTACTTCAAGGTAAATAATTTTAATATAATTTAATAAGAATAAGAATAATTTAATTTAATAATAATAATACTAATATAATAAATATTATTATATGTATACAGAAGTGATGAAATACACTTCCGAGTCCCACATTGACTTTGAGGATTTAAATAAAGCATTGGATAGAATGCGATCATTGGCTAAGAAATGTGATGAAACAGTTCTAAATTTATTATAATACATGACTATATTATATTTTATATATTATTATATTACATTATATTACATTGTTATTATTATATTACATTATATTATTATTTATTTTTATTTTTTTTTTTAAAAAAAAAAAAAAATATAAATAAAATTTAAAAAAAAAATAAGTAAAAATTGAATCCCCCACCCCCCAAAAAAAAATAAATTCTAAAAATCAAAATTATATTAAAAAATTTCTTTGTATATATATTAATTATTTTTTTTTATATTATTTTTATTATCTTTTATTACCTTTTATTATTTTTTATTATTTTTTTTTGGGAAGGAGGAGAATTCTTAATTAAGTGACATTGACATTGCCTTAATTGTGTTATTGTCTTTTTATATGCCTCTTTTTTTTTTTTTTGTATATCAATCAGATACATATTGTATATAGTTTTTTTTTTATTTATTTTTTCTTTTTTAATTTCATCATCACATAATATATTATACATCATATTATTATTATACATTGTCATTATCATATTATCATACATTATTATATGTTATCCTTACATATATACTATTTTATTGTTACTTTAATCATTTCAAATATTCCAAATATTCAATGTTCTCAAATTTTCCAATATTTACAAATATTCCCAAATATCCTTATCATCTAAACAAAAAATATGTAAAAATATTAAAAAATATATTTCTTAACATTATCAAAAAAAAAAAAAAAAAGTATTTATTTTTCTTATTCTTATTCAAGATGTATTATTTTCTTAAAGATCTAAGTTATAAATTATAATACAAATAAAAAATTTTAGATATCTTGTTTAACACATGATGTACTTAGAAGTTCTACATAAACATTAAATATGTATGTACAGATCATTATGTCGTGTTGTTGTTGGTTAGTTGTTTGTTATGTATAGGCATGATCTATCAATAATATGTAAGTAAGTTATGTATGATCTTCAGATAAAACAGGAAAGGCAAGGAAAGACAAGAAAGATAAGAGATACAAAAATGCAACAAACAAAGATAATTCAGAATACTAATAATAGTTTATTACACCAATAAAAAATATATATATATATAATTAATTCCATAATTGGTTGTTCACGTTTGAACTTGATTTGTTATAATTTATTGTTCATATTGTTAATAAATATATATATATACATATATATATTGTTATTCTTGATTGTCATAAATCTTGTTAATCACATTATCGATCCGGATATTACGGAAAATCACTAATTTGATGAATAAATTAGAATTTTTTAGATATTAAATATTTATTATTTTATTATTATTATTATTATTATTAAATATTTTATCTTCGTCGTCTGATATACTGATATGATTGTGATCGATTTTTGGTGGGGTGTTTGCATATAATTCAGCTGACAAAATTGACTCGCGTGTAATTATATTAAATTATATTTATTTATATTTATTGGGGTTAAGAACAAAAAAAAAATTAATTATAAAATATTCAAAAAATATTTTTTTTTTTTCTCTCTCTCTCTTTCTTTATCAAAAAATCATCATTCTTTAATATTTGTTTATAAAGTCTTACATTAAATATTATTATTCTTTTAAATAAATATTAGAATATTCTTTAATAATAATAATATTATAATAAATATTCAAAAAAATATATAATAAAAAAAAATATGGAACCGATACATCAACCTTTACTCTTTGAAGAATTCTTTAACGCAATATCTTTACCTAAACTTACTTATCATTGGCATACATTATTATTATCAACATTGTCTTGTTATTTCACCATTTACTTTTCACGAATCATTTCACCAAAATTGTTTCCTAAAAGTTATAATACTTTACATGGACTTAAAAGATTAAATTGGGATATCCATTTTGTTAGCATGATTCATTGTTTAATAATAGTTACTTTATCTATACCTTTGTTTAATGAAAAGGAATTAGTAGAAGATAAAGTATTTGGTTATAATTATTATGCTGGAAATGTTTATTCTATTGCTTGTGGGTAAGAATTATTATTATTATTATTATTATTATTATTATTTAAATAATTTATATTTATTATCTATTATTATATCTATTATTAATTAATTAATTTTTTATTAATTTAATATTTTATTAATTTAATGATTAAATTTATATATTTTTATTTAAATTATTTTAATTAATATGATATTAATTAATTATTACTATTTTTTAAATAGTTACTTTCTGTGGGATGCATTGATATCTCTTTATCACGTGAAAGAATTTGGAATAGGTTTCGTATTGCATGGAGCAAGTTGTTTTGGAGTATTCATATTTGCCTACGTGAGTTTTTTTTTTATAATAAATATTCAGTAATACTTAGTAATAACAATAATTTATATTATATTTTTATTTATATGTATGTAGCGACCGTTCTTGAATTATTATGGAGCAGTATTTTTAATGTATGAGGTTTCAACACCATTCTTGAATATACATTGGTTTATGGTAAATAATTTTTTTAATTCAATATATAATTAATAATTAATTCAATTTTAATAATCCATATTTTTAATTATTGTAAAATTAATCAAATATTTTTTTTTTAATTCTTTAATTAAAGGATAAACTTGGGTTAACTGGATCACTAGTTCAACTTATAAATGGTGTTTTTTTACTCACTTCATTTTTCTGCGCAAGAATTATTTGGGGATTTTATATGTCTTATCATGCATTCAGTAAGTCTTTATAATTTATTATTATTATTATTATTTTACAATAATTTTTATAATAATTTATTTTATTATAATTTTTAGCGGAAGTTTCAAAAGTAATTTCTCTAGTTCCAACATTTCTCTTTGTTATATATGGAGGAGCCAATATAATTTTAAATATTTTAAATTTATATTGGTTTTATAAAATGATTGAGTCATTAATGAAAAGATTTAATTCGGGAGAAAAGAAACATCATTATAATAAGCAACTTCATGTCAGTGGTTCAAGTAAAACGGTTACTTCGAAAGTTGATTCCACCAAAGTTAAGAAATTACAATAAGAAATTATATAAATGAATAAATGAATCAATGATGAATAAATTATATATAAATGAATCAATGATGAATAATTATAAATAAATTATATTTATATGGTATAAATAGCATCTCATATATATATATATATATATATATATATATATATATAGGATATCATAGTATAAATAGTATAAATGCTTTTAAATAATAATAATAAAATAAAAATAAAAATACTTTTCGCATAAATTTATAAATATATATGGAGAGATATATATATTTATGTATTATATACATTACATTAATAAATCAAATAACATTTTAATACACTACATAAATATTATTAATTATATAAAAAAAGTATACGAGGTAATGAATAAAATAATATCTGATAATATTCTAATAATTTTATTTAATTTTTAAAATATATTAATTAAATTAAATTAATCAACTTTTTCAGTTTTTTCAATAATATTTCTATTGATAATTACATTATTATTATTATTATTATTATTACTATTATTATTATTATTATTATTATTATTATTATTATTACTAACATTATTATTATTATCATTATAAATAATAGATGATTTTAAATTATTATTATTATTATTATCATCATTATTATTATCATCATAATCAGAATTCATCTCTTGTAATTGTTTTTTCTTAATCATCATCATAATGCCAAGTGGTAAATCTTCTTCATCAATTTTATCATTAATTTTATTATTATCATTTGCATTCACATCTAAATCCACATCTAAATTTGCCTCACTTTCATCCATATCATTATTATTTATATTTTTCTTACTATAATTATTATTATTACTATAATTATTATTCTTTTTATAATTATTTTTATAATTATTGTTGTAATCATTATCGTTAAAATTTTTCGAATCATATGCATATTCGTATTCTTCATCATAATCATTACCACCAATTCCTATATGTTCGGGATAATTTTCATCATCAAAATCATCTTGAATATTATTTTCGTAATTTTCATAATTTCTATTATAATTTTCTTCCCCTTCTTCTTCTTCATCTTCACTATTAGAAAATTCATCACTACTTGAATACAATGTACTTCCATCCGAATTATGATATGGATCATCGTTATAATCACCATCTTCATCATTATTATAATAATTTTCAACTAACATTGCTCTTTCTTCTAATGATATATTACGTACCAAATATCCTTCACTATCTCTTCTTACATGATGAAATTTACGACGATGATTACTTTGATTAATTTGTTGTTGTTGTTGTTGTTGATTACTTTTATTATTGGAAGAACGAGAAGCGGAAGAAGTCTTCTTTTCATTATTACTAATACGAGTCTTATTATTATTAAGTTGTTGTAATTTATGATTATAAATATCCCAAGGTTTTGGTGGTAATGGAGCTGCCACTTTGACATTCGGATCTTTTGGAGGCCAAATTTGATTGGGATCTAGATTATATATATATGTGTATGTATATATATATATTGTATATGTATATATTTCATATCGATTAAATAATTATTAATTAATAAACAATATAAATATAAATAGTAAAAATGACTAATGAATAATTAACTAATAAATAACCGATAATAATAATAATAATAATAAATAACCAATAATTAATAATAATAATGAATTAATAAAAATAAATAATTAATAATGAATAAATAATAATTATATCTATAACAATATTTAACCAATCATCCACCCAACCAAAATAATAATAATTTAATATAAATATAATACATATAATTAGTAATAATAATAATAAAAACTGACCCAATATATATAATCAATATATATACATTATATACATATATAATATAGAGATCTAAAAAAAAAATAAATAAACCCCCCCAATATCTTATCTAAACTAAATAATCCATTTCCAATTCCGAATCGTCAGTCGTACCTGCATTACTTGAAATTGGAAATGACAATCCATTGCCTTTAATTTGTTGTGGTAAACACCAGAAAATAAGATTCTCTCCTAGAATTGCTTGAATATTTCTAAGAAATCCTATATCATAAGGAAATGTGACCTATAATAATAATAATAATAATTATTATTATTATTATTATTATTATAATTAATGTTATTAAGGTTTGATGAATTATCAAAATATAAATTACAAAATATAAATTATAAAATTATAAAATATTAAATTATAAAATTATAAAATATAAATAATTATAAAATAATTTATAAAAAATTTAAATTATAAAAATATTATAAATAGAAATTACCTCTTTAATCTTTCCTTTACGAACCATAGTTGAAACTTTATCTTTTTCCCAATTTTCTATTGTTGTGGTATTTGACATCATACAATAAAAATGATATAAACTTAATACTCCAACAGAGAAAAGTACAGGAATTACTGCTGCATAATTTAAAACTAGAAAAATAATTTCTGATGTTGTTGGTTCATCAAACTATTAAATATAATATATATTTAAAATATATATTTATATATATAAATAATATATATTAATTAAAAAAGATTAGAGAATGAAATAATTAAGATATTAAATATATTAATTAGAGAATAAATTAATTAATTAATTAATAATAATAATAATAATAATAATAATAATCCAAACCATCGTAAAATCATTAATAATTTGAATGGTTCTCTGTGTCATCAATATAAAATGATATAAGCATGACACATCTACCCAAAACACAAAGCGGATAAAATGTCCATAATTGTAATATCCCACACAATTATTAGTCCATGGACCTAAAAAAAAAATTTGATGTAATTTTTTTATATTAAATATTTTATTTTATTTATTATTATTATTCGATTATTGAATATTTTTTTTACTCACAGTGATGATCCATCTTCAATACACATCTAAATTTCAGATTAAAATTAATTGATATATTAAATTGATAATAATTAAATTGATAATAATTAATCACAGTTATTGTATACCTTTTACATGTCCGACAGTGATGTGATCGAGGTGGCTTATAACACGAACAAGTCCGACAATATCGGGGTGCGTGCGTGGTTCGTTTTATTTCTATGATGTCCTCTTGACTTTCTTTAGGATACTATTATTGTATTATTGTATTATTAAAATATTATATTTATTATTAATTAATTAATTATTTATTTATTAATTAATAATAATTATAATAATAATAATAATATTATTATTATATATTAAATTAGAAATCCAAATATTTTCTTTTTTTTATAAAAAAAAATTCAAATAAATATATTCAAATATAAAATATTCAAATATAAAATATTCAAAATATATTAATTTAATAAATAATCACCCAGTCTGCAGGTACTCTTCCTGGATCAGTCATACATGTTAAATAATAATTATGAAATATTAAAAATACTGAGATGTTAAAAGGAATTAATATCGTTAATGAATGAACATTAAAACCGCCTAAGAAATTCCAAAAAATAAAGAATTGACTACTATATGCTAAAAAACTAATGAGTAAAACAACTCCAATAATGAATAGACGACCAGTATCAATCATTTTTTTATTTATTTTATTTGTATAATTGTATATAAATTAATAATTTGATGATAAAGAAGAATTGTTTGAAAAATGCATTTAAAAGAAATATTAAAAGAAATGTTTATCAAAAGTTTAATATTTTTTTTTTTGCATATATATATAGATAATTTATTTGATAATTGTGTAACTGACGTTTTGATAAAATTAACTGACTGCGTTCTGTGTACTGTTAATCTTCTCTTCGAATATCGAAAATAATGGGAAAATCAAAAAAGGACAAAAATAAAAATCTAAATGAAAACGCAACTATGGTTCATCATACGAAAATAAAACCTCAACTTTCAAAAAGTACAATAAATTTATTTAATTTATATTTAATTTTTATATAATTTATTTAATTTTTATATAATTTATTTAATTTTTATATAAATATTTTATATTATGAAAAAAAAAGACATAAAAAAGAGGACACCATTAAAACCAGCTATAGTTCCAACTGATATATACGTTTCGCGTAATTCGAATTTTAAAGGTCAATTATTTCGTGCTAAAAGATTGTTATTGGAAGATGGGTAATTTTTATCATTTTTATAATATCCATTATTTATTATTCTAATTATATTTCACTTTTAATTTATATTATATTATACTAATTATACTATCTATTATATTATATTATTAAGACATTCACCAATAATAATAATTCATGGATTAGGAGCAGCGATACAAAAATCCATTAATTTGGTATTAACCTTAAATGATTTATTACAAAATCAAATTGTTTACAAAGTTACTACTGGAACTGTTAATCTAGTAGATGATATTATTCCTGATGATGATGTAATTAATTAATTATTTATTTATAAGAATATTATTATTCAATTCATTCAATTATTTATATTATTTAATTAATTTATTAATTAATTTATTTATTTATTTATTTATTTATAATAATAGGATAAAGATTTGGAAGTTCAAACTAGAAATAATTCTAGCATTCATATTGAAGTATCCTTAAAAGATAATTCCTTTTATCATAGATAGCGTTACCTGATTGACTGAATTGACTGAATTGACTGAATTGACTATATTGGCTATATTTGGGTGTGTGCGCGTGCGTTGACATTATTGACAAGTATTGAATAGTGTTACTCAATTGTGATTAATTGATGACAAAAGAAATCATATTTCAAAAAAAAAAAAAGAAAAAAAGCAGCATTAATTCAGTAGAGTTATTCAGTAGTTAATTATTTAATAGCGATGTAATTCATAATTATTCTTTGACTGACTAGACATACTTTTTTTTGAGGGGTAAGAGGAGGAGTATAAAAGAATGAGTTAAAAAGAACGAAGTCTAAAGATAAAATATAATGTATAAATTAGCAGCAATTAAAGAAAAATTAAATGAATCGGTTGAAGTTACAAATTGAGAAAAAAAAAAAGAATATCCAAAGTATTCGTCGATATCGCTCTTTTTTTAAAAAAAAAAAAGAAATTATTCATTTTATAATTTTTATAAAGTTTTTTTTTTTTTTTTTTTTTATGAAATATTAATAACCACGAAACCCTCATCTGATATTATTATTTATAATATTTATATGAATATTTGTATTATTATTTATATTATTTATATTATTTATAATTATATATATATATATATTAATTATCCGATGTTGTCGAAATATTAATTCGTCCCCATCATATTCTTCGTATTATTTACTTTGTATCATATTATCCATTATTTTTTCATTATTATTATAATTTTTCATTATTTTTTCATATTTTTCATTATTTTTTTTTTCATTATTATCGTTCTTCACCAACCCTTCCGTCTTTTTAACCTTTCTTCATTATTCCAATCATTAACTTTTTCATCTATTCCTCTCCTTCTTTCGTCCATTCCGCATCATCGTCACCAAATAAATCGTTATCATCCCAATCTTGTCCATCTCCACCGCCATCTTCATTAATATCCTCCGGTCCTTCCTCTTGAATCTCATCAGGGCCCTCCTCTTGTTCTTCTTCCGGTCCCTCCATCATATCTTCTTGGCCTAATTCTTCTTTAATCATTACTTCCTCTTTAATCATTGCTTCTTCTTTAATCATTACTTCCTCTTTAATCATTACTTCTTCTTTAATCATTACTTCTTCTTTAATCATTATTTCTTCTTTAATCATTACTTCTTCTTTAATTTCATTTTTAATTTCCTTTTTGATTTCTTTCTTCTTCTTCCCATTATATATTTCACCTTCTTCTCGATCGTCTTGATCCATATCATAGGTTCCTTCCTCAACTTTAATTTCATCATCATTAAGTTCATCGTGCTCTGCACTACTTGAACTGTTATTATGGGTAGCATGATTAATGTCATCATTATTCATTCCATTAAATCCGTTCATTAGATCCTCCTTCTTTTTTAGATGTTCCGTTAGATATTTATTCATGGTAAAACTATGAATACGATCATGTTTAAATATACCCATTAATTTTTCATCACAAACAATATATCGTTTGTCCGCAGGATCTTGTAATTTATGTTCTTTTATATATACCCATAACCTTTTAACAACTTCTAATCGTGATAACTAATGTTTAAATGAATGAATGAATTAAAAAAAATTAAATTTAATTAAATTAATTATAATTTAATCAAAAAATAAATTAAATATTATAAATAAATATTATATAAAAAAGAAAATAATTAAAATCTTCTTTAATTTACCTCCTCTTCGTTGAGAAATTCGGATAATACAGGACTTAGGATCAAGGGTTTGTGAATACCTGTTACTCCTTTCTTCTTCTTTTTCTTTTCATCATTATCCCCTTCGTCATCATCTTTTCTTTTTCTCTTATTATTTGAAGACTTCTTCCTTGGGGTTCCATTATTTTTGGTCTTTTTATTATTTAATTCCTCTTCAAACTTTTTTTCGAATTCGGCGTCGGAATTACCTGAATTCCCCGCTTGATTCACTTGTGAATTCTTGGGTTTCCTACCTCTCGTTTTCCTTGTGGATTTTTTTTCATCCTCCAGGGATGATTCGTCCGTAACGTGATTATTCTTTACTGATACTTTCGGAGGGCGACCTTTTTTCTTTTCGGTCGTTTTTGTGGTTGATTTTCGTTTTTTCTCTTCTTTCTTTTGTTTTTTTGTTATCGTTTCATGTTCACTATCAACCACATCTTCTTCTACACCCATATCTAAATCATCAAAACATTCTTCAATTAATTCTTGAACTTCATGCTTTCGCGAGGTTAGATCTACTTTGTATTTCTGTTCTAACTTCAGGCGTACGTCCCTCGCGGTAATTTCTAAGGGATCTGAATTTAAAAGGATTCTTTTAATTGAGGGAATGTATTCTGACAAGTCGACTTCCATTATTCTTTTTTTTTTTTTTTAAAAAAAAAAAAAAAAAAGACCTTGAATAATTTTCTTTTATATTTTTTTTTTGATTTTTTTTATTAATTGCTTATGCTTGTTTTTTTTAAAAAAAAAAACTTTTTTTTTAATACAAAAATGTATAGAAAAAGAACGAAGAAAGAATTGTGATAAAAGTCACTAAAAAAGGGATAATAATACGACGACGAAGGTTAGGCTGGTTACAAACGATACAAACGAATATTCAAAATTTAGAATTGCATTTTGAATCCATGAAAAAAAGTTCGTGGGTAGGTATTTATATTTATTTCTATTGTGTCATAAGCCTCAAAAAAAGTCATGCAGTCATGTGTAATCGTTACATAAACATACTTGTATGCTTATTTGACTATGTAAGGAAATCTCGAAGACGAAATTAACAGTTGAAATAAATGGGTCGAATAGCGCAACACGGAACATTCTTTTATTTTATTTTGTGCGAATTAATTATATTTATTATATTATATTATTTATAAAAAGGTAGCTCTTTCAAAAAAAAAATACTCCACCTTTTATTATTATTATTTGAATATTTTTTTAATACCTAATACCTATCTAATTGATTCTAAAAATAATTCATAATTTAATTATTAATTACTAAAAAAAAATATATTAATAGTTGATCATAAAGTTATCATTATATTTATTTTTATCTTCTCTTAGGTATTTATCGAACCAAACAAATTCATTACCAAGAACAGGAATGAAAAATGAAAAATTTAATAATTGAAAATAATTAAAATTTACTTGAGTTTAATTGGAATCCATTTAATCGATGCGTGTGCGGGATTTTTTTCTTTTATAATTTTGCGTTCCTTAAACGATCACCCAAATTTGGTTTAAAACTTCTTAATTGGTTTAAAATCAAAAATTCTCCTCAATTGGTTTAAATCATTTTCAAATTTTTCTTTAAATCTCCTCAATTGGTTGAATCTTTGAATAGTTGATCTCCATAGTTGGTTAAGATCAACCTAGAGTGATTAAATAATTTTATTCAACAATCTAATTTCTCGTGTTCAGAATAATGAGTACCTAATATATATTATTGTTAAAAAAAAGAAACAAAGAAACAATTATTATAATAAAATAAAAGATTACACAACCTCCCCAAAATTATCTAAATCATTTTTATTGTATAACATTGAAGTTAACATTATGAGAAATATCACATGCCAAATTTATGTACCTTTTCCCCTAAACATTGATTCCAATCTTATTAAAGAAATCCAACACCCAATTTTTTTTTTTTTTTATAAAAAAAAATGTTTTTTAAAAAAACGTTTTATCATTTTCAGGGGTCATCCAAAAGTACAATTATTTCTAAAACTCGTGGTAATGCGTTTCATCTTAAACTTAATAATAATAATAATAATAATAAATATTATTATCAGCAACACCACCTGAATTACTACCTAAAACGCGTACCCACTCGTTGTTGTTGTTCTTCTTCTGGATATAATTCTTTATTCGGATATTATTCTTTATTTGGATCGATCAAATTTAGAAATTTAAATTCTCCGAGTTTAAGTAATAGATTAAATAATAAATTATATAATAGCTTAAATAATAATAATTATTATAATAGTATAAACAAAAACCTAAATAATAATAATGAACTATTCAATAATGGGTTATTGAATAATAATAATAATAATAATAATAATGGATTATTAAACAATAATCATAATTTGAATTTGAATAACTTTAATAATAATCGTCATTACCATAATGTAAAAAAAAATTATGTCATATCCCAAGAAAGAAAGAATTATACTAAGCCAATTGTTGGATATTGGTTATTAGGAATTTCCGGATTGACTTTTGGTATAGTTGTATTAGGGGGATTAACCAGATTGACTGAAAGTGGATTATCAATTGTAGAATGGAAACCTATAACTGGAATCATTCCTCCAATGAATCATTCTCAATGGAATGAAGAATTTAAAAAATATCAACAATTTCCCGAATATAAATTGTAATTATTTTATTTTATTTTATTTTATTTTATTTATCTATTTATTTATCTATTTCTTTTTATTTATTTTATTTAATTTATTTATTAAATTATTTATTAAATTATTTATTTATTTTTATTTATATATATTTTTATATATACATATAAATTATATATATATATATTTTTACCTATTATAAAGACAAAATTATGATATGACATTATCGGATTTTAAATATATCTATTTTATGGAATGGGCACATCGAATGTGGGGTAGAATGATTGGAATAGGATTCATTTTACCTGCAACATATTTTGGAATTCATGGATATATGTCAAGATCCGTGACAAAGAAGGTTATCGGTTTGGCAGGATTACTTGGTTTTCAGGTAAATTTTTTTATAAATAATAATTTCAATATAAGTTACAAAAAATTTTAAAATTAATGATTCATCATTATCAGGGTCTATTAGGATGGTATATGGTTAAATCTGGACTTGATGAGAAATTAATTTCAACACCAAATTCTATTGCTCGAGTTAGTCATTATCGATTAGTTGCACATTTAGGTAGTGCATTCCTTCTTTATGCGGGAATGTTTTTAACTGGTTTACAAATTATTCGTGATGCAAAAATTATAAATGGAACTTTTCCCATGGTAAAAATATTTCCGAAATTCTTATATATTAATTCCTTCCTTCCCAATAATTTGAATTAACTTAATATTATTCCAATAATTATTATAATTGTTTGAATAATCAAATTATAAGGATGTCGCCAAAATGCTTGCGAATCCAGCTCTCAAGAGATTTCGTCTTTTTTCTATCGGTACTGCTGTATTAGTATTTCTAACCTCTATGTCTGGAGCATTAGTCGCTGGATTGGATGCTGGTCTTATTTATAATGAATTTCCATACATGGGACAAAATATTATTCCTCCAAAATCTGAACTTTTTTCTACAAATTTTGATTTATGGCGAAATTTTTTTGATAATCCAACGACTGTTCAATTTGATCATCGAGTTCTGGTAAGTACTATTTTATTTTCCCTTTCCCTATACATATATCTCTCCTTAAATAAATATTATTATATTTTTATATATATATATATTTTAGGCTACAACAACTTTTACTGTAATCATGACATTATGGTTATATTCTCGTCGTTTTAATCTTCCACCGAAAGTTCGTTTATTAATTAATAGCGTTCTTGGTGTAGGATGTTTACAAGTAACTTTAGGAATTAGTACTTTAATTTATTTGGTACCAATTCCTTTGGCTTTAGCACATCAAGCAGGTAGTTTAACTCTTTTAACCACAGTATTGCATTTAGTACATGCCATGAGAAAAGTGCCAATCAAATTGTAATATATTATCACAACATATCGGATATATATACTGCATATATATAAATATTAAATATTATTAATTGAAATTGGTGAATTTATTATTGTACATATAAAAATTTTTATTCTATTTTAACTAATAAAGTTCCAGCACTTACAATGTTACCTTCTTTTACTAAGATTTTAATTATACCATCATGATTACTATATAATTTAACTTCAGTCTTCATTGATTCCATTGTTAAGATTGGTTGTTTTTTTATTACATTCGTACCTGATGGAATTAATACTTTTAGAATTTTGCATGGCATTGGTGCTAAATAGGGTGATACTAAAAAAAATTAAAAAATAAAATATTTTGTGTAACCATTTTTTTGACTACATTTTTAATAATAATAATAAAATATTTAAAAATTTCAATCACTTACTATCATCATCAACATTTTCCACAGATGTGATTAATTTATTCTTTCTAATAAATTTATATTGAATACTGTTTTGATAATCATGAACATATACTTCTTGTTGCTGCAAATGATCTTTATTCCCATTTGCAACTTCAAAACTTCTTTGTTCTTTATCTATTCAAAATATTTTAAAATATCAAAAATTTAAAAGATAAAATGAATAAAACAAAACAAAATAAAAAATCATTAATAAAATTAATATAAATAAAGATAATCCATTATACTTTACACACTAACCTATTGTACATCTCAAATTTCCATAAATTTCATTTCCATTGTGATTATTATTATTATCATTATGAAGTTTAATATAATTCAATATAACATCATGATTTTGAACTTTAAAATAATATTCTTGATGATTATTCCCTATTTTTCTTATTTTTCCACCATCAATATTACTTTGATATTCATATGTTAATTCTTCAACATTTCCATTTTCCAATAAATAAATATCTCTCGGATTTTTCCATTTGATATATCTCCAAGATGAAGGAATGTGTTTTAACGTGGATCTACTTTTCTCTCTTAAATACCAAAACCATAAAAATGGAATGATTATCAAATTCTTTGATAAATCATTTTCTTCTTTAAAAGATTTTAAATAATTTGGAGGATAATGATTTTCAATAAAGTGAGTATTATAATTTCCTGATAAAAAATTTTGATGACAAAAAATTTTTGATAAAAATGATTGATTGGTAATTAAACCCAAACAAACAGTATTGCAAAGTGCATATGACATCTTTTGTAATGCTTGTTGCCTCGTTGGAGCCCATACTGAAATTTTCGCAATTAGAGGATCATAATATATGGAAATTTCGGACCCTAAAATTAAAAAAATAAAAAAATAAATAAAAATAATTAATAATAATAATTATTATTATTAAAAATAAAACTATTATTTACCTGTCTCTATTCCTGTATCATATCGAATAAAAGGTGTTGTGCATTGTTTCCAATAACGTATTTTTCCTGTACTTGGAAGGAAATTATTTCCAGGATCTTCTGAATAAAGACGACATTCAATAGAATGACCCTAAAACGTTAAAAATTCAAATAATTCCACAAAAAAAAAAAATGAATTAATTTATTCATATATTTTGGCTACAATAAAATATAAATTTTCAAATGTATTTGTTATTATTTACATTTGATTTTAATGTCGGCAATATTGATTGAGATAAATCAAATCCTAAATAATTAATTATAATGAATATAATGAATATAATGAATATAATAAGTAAAATTATAATTTATAAAAACCTTGTGCAATCAAAATTTGAATCTCTACTAAATCCAATCCTGTTACTAATTCTGTGATTGGATGTTCAACTTGTAAACGAGTATTCATCTCAAGGAAATAAAATCTTTTTTCTTTTTCATCCTTTAAATAATTTTTTAATAATTCTTTTTTTTTAAATAATTTTTCAAATAATTTTTTTTTTAAAAATAAAAAAAAAATTAATCAAAATAATATAAAATACCTACCACAATAAATTCGATTGTACCCACTCCAATATAATTAAGAAATTTACTAATTTGAATTGCAGTCTCAATCATTTGTTCCCTCAATGCTTGATCTAAATATGGCGAAGGAGTTTCCTGTAATGCATAATAAAAATGAGAGAGAGAAATATGAAAGAATATAGAAAATATATATATGCAAAAGTTACCTCGATGACTTTTTGATGTCGACGTTGTATGGAACATTCTCGCTCAAAACAATGATAAACATTTCCATATTGATCACCTATGATTTGAATCTATAAAATGGAGAATTTGTCAGCACCAAAAATTTTTCTGAAGTAAATAAGGTAAAATAGGGATAAATTGGGGTCAACAAAATATAGACGCAATGTATAACCTCAATATGACGAATTGAATCAAAATACTTTTCAATTAAAAGTTGATCAGAACCAAAAGATCGAAGTGATTCAGATTTGGCAAGTTCTATTTCTTCCGATAATCTTTTTTAATAAAAAGAATAATATAAGATTAATTAAAAAAAAAAAAATCTATTATGAAAATGTTTGTTGACTTTACATTATATACTGACTTTGATTCTTCGTGAACAATGCGCATACCTTTACCACCTCCCCCTGCCGAAGCTTTTAATAAAATTGGAAATCCTAGAATGAAATAAATTTCCTTTTTTTTTTTAATATTTTTCCTTCTCAAAAGATAAATAAATATTTATTTACTGACCAATTCTCTTGGCTTCCTCAGTCAATATCTTTAAACTTTGATCATCACCATTATATCCAGGTATAAGTGGAACCGATGGCAAATGTTTTGATAATAAATTTTTTGCTTTAATCTAAAAATTACAAATAAAAATTAAATAAATGAGAAACCTATAATCAAATATCTTAATATTAATATTAATATAATTATGATAAATTTTGTGACAAAAAAAAAAAAATTTTAGACCTTATCACCGATTGCTAACATGGACTCCGGAGAAGGACCAATAAAAATTAGATCATATGAAGAATAATTTTGACTAGATTCAGATATCCTTTGATGAAACTGTGGATTTTCTGATAAGAATCCATATCCTAAAAAAAAGAACAATATATATATAAACAAAATAAAATAAAATAAGAAAAAAGAATACTATATCAAATGAAACCTGGATGAATTGCTTCAGCATTTGTACGATAAGCAGCTTTAATTATTTCTTCAATATTTAAATAAGATTCACTTGCAAGTGATGATCCAATATGAACTGCTTCATCTGCTAAACTTACAAATAAAGCATTTTGATCTCTTTTTTTAATGCAAAAAAAGTAATTTATTTTTTTCGGTTATTATTATTATTATTATTATTATTATTATTATTATTATAAAATTCGAGTGTTTTTATGAACTTTATACGTACATATCAGAATAAACGGCTACTGTTAATATACCTAAATTTTTACATGTTTTTATAATTCTACATGCGATTTCACCTCGATTGGCAATTAATATCTTTTTAATATCTTTCTTGAACATTGATAAAAAATGATTCTATACATAACATAAATTAAAGATTTTTTTTAATCACAACTAATTCATTTTATATTAATCGAAAATCATTTAAGAAAAAATTTCCATTTTTTTTTTTTCTTCAAAAAAAAATTAAAATAGTCACCTCAGATCTCTGTATATTTTTTTTTAAAAAAAAAAGCTTTCATTTTATAAGTTCTATTTTAGAACGATCTGTTACACATCAATTATTAACAATGTCAAATATCTTACATATTACCAAAAAACAACATGGCTAGTATCAAACTACCAAGTACCGTAAAGTTCCGCATACAATACCTGCCCGAGTACCGTAGTTTTCGGGCCAAAGTACCCCCTTTGAAAATTTTAGAAGTTTTTTAAAGTACCCGGGATATTATATTTATTATTTAAATTTATTATTATTATCGCTATCAATATTATTTTCATTATTATCATCATTAATATTATTCTTCATCATCCCCAATATCCCAATCATTAATATAATTATTATTATCAGAATATTCATCATCGCTTAAGTTTAAGTCATTTAAATTTTCTACAGTGTGGAAAATCTTAAATAAAATTTAATCCAATAATCAGATTTCTTTTATATTATAGTATTTGAATGTATTTATTTATGGAAAAAAAAAATTTTCTCAATTTTCTTGATTTATGTAAGCAGCATGTGATGCAATTTTAGCCAATTAGAATTCAAGAAAATATATTTACATATTTATATTTTAGTAATAAAGATTATAGATTTAAAAATTATTTTATTTATTAAAATTTCAATTATTTAATTTCATTATAAATTGTATTAGGTACATGATGATGAGATTTATATTTTTTAACAGCATATTCTGCCATTTTTCCAGTAATACCTTTTCTGTATATATCCATATATCTCTATGATTTACGTGCATATTTTCAAATAGTAATTAAAGAAATTGAATCTAAAGCTTCAAAAACAGTTTTTTGTAATCTATTTCAAGTATGATTACAATGTTCTCTAGTATATCTTTTAGCAACATCCCAATATATCTCTATGTAATTTAATTCACAATGATATTTGGAATAAAATATATATTTATATTCACATTTTTCAATTTCTTCTTGAAGTTTGAATTTTTGTGTCAAGAAATTAGATTGTAAAGATAAAATTTGACATGCACAACATTCAGTTCTGTTTATATCTGTAAAATTTATTTTTCCTTTACATAAATTACAGTTAGCTAATAAATTATCTTTCCATAAATCTTTTTCAATTAATATTTGTTTTATTTCTTTAGGTTAATTTGAATATTTAGAATAAGGATAATTAAATGAAAAAACCATAGATTGTAAAATATTACTTGGTCCATAATAAGTATCATGCATATGTGGTTGTTTTCCTCCTGAATTTAAATTCATTCTAAAAGTATTTAATCTATCTTTTGCCATTGTACCATGATTAGTACTATTATCAAATGCAAAAATACCTATTGTATTAAAATATAAAAGTTTAAAAATAGGTATTATATTATTAATTACTTGATCTATGAGATGTTCTAAAGTCTACTAACCTTCTTTATTTTTACCAGGACAAAGAAATTTTCTTGCCTCTTTAGAAATACATCAGGAAATTTTTTCTAATGAAAACCTTCGAAAGTTAACGTTAACATAAGTATTTTGTTATTTTTCGATATGTTATCCTTTGAAGGTTTTCGCTAACCTTCGAAGGTTATTGATTTTGATATTTTCACGTGGCAAAATTTTGCGAATATTATCATTTTCGTAGTAAATTTATATCGATAACCTTCGAA